TTTCCGACATCCGTGAATTAAACAAAAATAGATAAAATTGCCATGCCTCTTTATGCTGGTTGGAGTTTCATTGAATACTGAAACTATAAATGCTCACTTATTCTTGTATAAGCTCCAAACATATTGGTTTACAAACTATAAATGCTCATTTATTCTTGTATAAGCTCCAAAAATATTGGTTTAAATGGTTAAATTATTAAACATTTTGGTTTATATGGTTAAATTATTAAGCTGTTTTTCTTTTTTGTATTATCTATATTGTAAATGATAATGTTCTAATTTTGCCCATTATGGATACTCTATTGGAATAAAAATAATATCTCATACCTCTGTATAGACTATAGAAAAGAACAATATTCACATAATTTTGTATTTGTTTACATGGATTTGGTAAATACTTCGTACTTTATTGATTTGTGGTGATATTCCCTGACATTCAAGGATAAAGCTTTGTTCAGTTTAATTTAATTTACATGTACGTATTGTCAAGTCGGATCGATGTGATATTGATCGAAGGTGTTGGAACTATTAACAGCTTTAGCATACGACTTGAACGTTTGGCGTCTGCTTGTAAGTTCATCGTTTCTTCCAACAGCCAGTCCCAAAGTAAGAAATATTAGAGATGAATCCCAAATAATTCTTCCAATAGCCTCTACAATAATTATTTGTCGATTTTGGAGAGGAGATAAAGGGTATAGGCCATTTCCGTGTCAAATACCAAACTAAACGTCAACGTAGTTTCAACTATGGACAAGTGTCTTTACAATACTTCAAGTTCTTAATTATCCAAAGTCTAGAAAACTTGTGCATAAATTTGTCGAGATTAATCACCAATTCCAAATTTCGTAAATGACTAAAAGTATAGATATAGCACATGACAACAACTGACGCAGTTCCGGACTTTGGAACAGGTTTAGTTTTAAACTTCAACCCTCTTATTTTCTGACCAGAGTATTAAGAAAACGTAGATTAAGAAAATGACAATCAGTATATAGATACATCATTTTACTCTATAATACTGGAATACATGTTTATAAGACACCGATCCAAAGGAACAGCCATACTAAACAATAACAAACTATATAGTATATATAATATATAGTTGTACGTGATATTGTGAAACTCGCTTTCTTTTTAATTGCATTTAGTAAGTTAATATACATGAAAATTCATCTTAAGAACTACCAGATCAATCAGTTCAAAAACATCATCAGTCAAATTAATTTCAAATTATTGGAAAACAGGAAATTGATACTGGAGATCTGAAATCACTGACATTTTAAAGCTCCACACAGAACAAGTGTTGTATAAACCCTTTGTCTTTAGCAATTCAAAATATCTTTATAAGAACCGGGTACAATAAAGTTTTGATTATTTTAAAGCAAAATTTAGATAAAACACTTGCACAATGTCTTTCCTTTTCCCGCAAAAACCAAGGACACATAAGTATCGAGTATAGGGTTACAAAATAACCCTCAATGAATTTATCCAACGAATACCTCTACTAATGAGGGTATGATAATATCGTATCAACGAATGCTCACAGATACAAAAAACAAGCCAAAAATATTTAACCAGCTGACATTAAATCATGCCGTTCTGCACTCAAATATCCGTCACTGCACGTGGAGAATTTTTTAGGAGCAACGTCATAAACAGTTCCTTGTGAAATGCCCAGAATAAATTTTGCACAGACTGATATCATTCACCTGTGGTATATGTTTACCTTCCATATATTTATTAACTTATTAGGAAACTTCAAATAATATTAAAGTAGAAGACCGATTTTTAATTTTGCACCCTCAACAAAAAATGGAACATCAATACCATATATTGCCAAAATAGAAAAAAAAATATTCTTCTATGACCAACGTCATCTGATACGGGTCATGTTTCTTCGTCACATTACTCGAAATATACATAACCGTCAAACGGACGACTGACATATACATACCCGTCAAAAGGACGACAGACATATACATACCCGTCAAACGGACGACAGACATAATACATACCCGTTAAAAGACCGACAGACATATGCACACCCGTCAAACGGACGACAGACATATACACACCCGTCAAACGGACGACAGACATATACACACCTTTGAAAAGGACGAAACACATATACATACCTCCAAAAAGGAGGACAGACATATACATACCCGTCAAAAGGACGACAGACATATACACACCCGTCAAACGATCGACAGACATATACATACCCGTCAAACGGACGACAGACATATACATACCCGTCAAACGGACGACAGACTTACACATACCCGTTAAAAGACCAACAGACATATACACACCCTTGAAAAGGACGAAAAACATATACATACCCTCCAATAAAATTCGTAAGGGTTCCGCGGAACCCAGTGTCTCGCCTACCTTTGCTGTTAGTCGCAGGCTCAACAAAAACGGGGAAAAATTATTAGAAATTTTCCTCTATATACTATCTTTTGATTGTAAGAAGTTCTGTTCAAGTTCGGTAAAAATCAAAGAAAGTTTATGAATCTAATAAATGTTTTAAAAACTTTAACTGCAGACTGTACGTAATGCTAACTGGAATAAAACTAAGTCCATTTATAATTAATATACGGAAAAACAGGAAATAATTTTTACAAAATTTCCTTCTAGATACTAGCTTTTGATCATTAACAAGCTTCTGTCCAAGTTTGGTACAAATCCAGGACAGTTTAAGAAAGTTATTAAAATTTTGAAAGCTTTAACCACAGAGTGAATGTAATGTTAACTGGCAGAAAAACTAAGTCCATTTATAAGTAAAATACGGAAAAACAGGATTTTTTTTTAACAAAATTTACTTTTGAATAATATCTTATGATCACAAACAAGCTTCTGTCCAAGTGTGGTACAAATCCGGGATAGTTTAAGAAAGTTATTAAATTTGAAAAACTTTAACCGCAGAGTGAATGTTATGTTAACTGGCAGAAAAACTAAGTCCATATATGAGTTAAATACGGATAAACACGATTTTTTTTTACAACATTTTCTTCTGGATACTATCTTATGACTATAAACAAGCTTCTGTCCAAGTTTGGTACAAATCTAGGATAGTTTAAGAAAGTTATTAAAATTTGAAAAACTTTAACCACAGAGTGACTGTAATGTTAACTGGCAGAAAAAACTAAGTCCATTTATGAGTAAAATACGGATAAACAGGATTTTTTTTTTTACAAAATTTACTTCTGGATACTATCTTACGATCATAAACAAGCTTCTGTCCAAGTTTGGTTGAAATGCAGGATAGTTTAAGAAAGTTATTAAACTTTAACCACAGAGTGAATATTTGTGGACGCCGCCCACGACGCCGACGACGACGACGCCGACGGAATGTAGGATCGCTATGTCTCGCTTTTGCGACAAAAGTCGCAGGCTCGACAAAAAGGACGAGAGACATACACACCCGTCAAACGGACGACAGACATATACATACCCGTCAAACGGACGACAGACATATACATATCCTTCAAAAGGACGAAACACATATACATACCCTTCAAAAGGACGACAGACATATACACTCCCGTCAAACGGACGACAGACATATACATATTTTTTTTTATCCCTTCAAAAAGACGAAGAACATATAAATACCCTTTAAAAGGACGACAAACATATCCCGCCCCTTTGAGAAGGACGACAAACATATCCCGCCCCTTTGAGAAGGACGACAAACATATCCCGCCCCTTTGAGAAGGACGACAAACATATCCCGCCCCTTCAGAAGGACGACATATACATACCCTTCAAAAGGACGACATATAAATACCCTTCAAAAGGACGAAAAACATATACATTTGTCATATATATACTGGATGAGTAATTTATTTCGACGACTAACAGGACGTCAAGTTAAAAAATAGTTTATGCATAAACAAATTAACAATAAAGCTATAGGTAGATTCTGCAAAGTGGTTGGACCAAGATTTTTTTATTTTTTTTTTTGGGGAGGGGGGGGGGGGGGGGCAAGAGGATTAATTACGAGGGAATATACATTTTCACTAGCTGCTAGACTGGCTTATAGATTCATTTTCACTTTTGTACACAGTTTTTTTCTTACGTTTTTCATAGAACCTTCATTTACATCCCGTTTTGCGTAATACTATTTTTTTTAGTGCTTAAGAGGCCAGAATATTCATTTCTACACCCAGATCAAATGTTCGTCTCCTTAAACATAAAAAAAACAAACAATTAAAAAAAATATGAAAGTGTCCTCATTAATAATACCCCAATGTTGATAGAGAAAATGAAGAAATGTGTCCTATAACGATATTGAAATTTTTTTTTTTTGTAATTGATGACGATCCAAATGTATCAATATCAAGGATTACGACATTTTTCATTGTTTGGTACTAAATTATCTGTTTTAACGTGGTAACTACATGTATAAACACACACTATTTTGTCCGTTTACTTCAATTTTTACAATTAAATGCATAATAATCAATAATAATTACAATGCCGGATGACCTGTCTACATTAAATATTGGGCATAGTTTACAGTATCAATATTTATTGGTAATAACATGTAATTTCCGTTCCTACTGTAATACTGTGTAGTATGCTGTATTGATCTTTTTATAATCGATCTGGCGAATACACACGCACAAAGTAAGCATTACACAGCTGGTTGATCACTTATCCGATTAAATTTAGTAACATAGCCTGTGCCTAACCTTTTGCTTTGTGTATTTTCTACGTTCAGAGAATACATCCCTATAGTTTTCTGTGTTTTCAGCTAACTCGAATTTGTTGGCTAGAACTGGTTTTAGCTAGATTCCCCTTGCAACAATTCTATTTAAAATTTTAGACCATTACACTTCCATATAGGGGAGAGTTTGCATTTAAAAATAGAATTACGTATAATAAACAAAGAAACAGGTGAAAGTCTTGACTCTTTATATCAACCTGTAATCATATATAAATTTGAAACCATTTTTTAATTGAAATGGCTTATTTACTATCAATAGAATATATGAATCCAATTATCTATGTTTCCATCCGCATGGGTTAGCCGTTTGTAGCATGCGCAGAACAGTGTAAACAAAACTGATGTTTCAGTGTTGCGGTATATTCTGGAAGAAAGAAGTTTTATTCGAATAAGATAAAGCACGAACTATTATATATTTCAATTTTGGTAAGTTGATAGTTTATCTAATTAAAATAATAAACATATTTATATGCATTAACAGCATCCTTGTAGATACCGGGTACAGCTGTTCAATATTTCCGGCTGGGGAACTTAGAATACACAAAGGTACAAAGGCTTCTGTTGTTATTGATAAAGTGTAATCAAATAATTTCTTGCATATTTCATAAAAATTGTTTTCCTTCTTATTCTGATATCCTGCTTGAAATACCGAAATCTCATGTTTAGTTATTTATCATCTTTTTCTCAAGTTCTGGTCAATATTCGCCCCTGTCCTTCGTATGACCCGAACAAGAGTGTTTACCTGCATAATGTACAATAGCTATTTATGAAACTGACAAGTTATTTACTAGTTCATTGGGTTAGATAGTTAGAAGTAGTCGTTATTTCCTCATTGCTTTATAAATAGTATTATTTTACTTTGCTTCGTGTAGGCTTTATACTGACTGATCTGGTTATGTCTTGAATTTAGCGGTTTAAAGATGTTTTTAATACTATTGCCCATCTCTTAGATCAATTTTCCCGGATCCAGAACAGAATCTTTTGCACAGGTATAGGCGGGGTTGGTATCGATATCTTTGTTAGCAAGTAGACACGACATGTGAGAAACACGAATAAGTCTCTTCTTTTATTATCTAGACAAATGTCTAATGTTCACTAACTGAAAATACGTTAAAGAAGCAGGATTATTTAGGTGCCAAATTTAGTCCAAAAGCAATTAGAATTAAAAGAGGGTTCGTTAAAATTGATACAGTTTCTTAATCGTCGATTTATAAACAAATAAAATTGAATATTTTTTTTTAGTCAATTTTAACTACGAGACATTGCATCATCTCAGAAGTAAAATCTACTTTTTTATATTTTTTGTATTTTTCTAAATAAAACATGCGTAATTTCATAATACAGTATTAGGCAATACGTATAAAAATGACGCAACACTTGTAAATTGAGAATGGATCCATTCCACATTTATCATATGTATTACAGGAATATTAAGGCAATGCTTTAATATCTTCCAAAAATAATAAATCGGTTTTTTTTTTTAACTTTATCTACAAATTTATTTTCTATATCGTGAATTTAGAACTTTTATAACAATTTTCCGTCTATATAGAATAACACTGATAATACCATAAAACTCCACAAAATTGGTATTGGTATTATATAGTCTTAAAAAACATTTCATGTGAAAATAATGTCTTATTTTATGACACCAGATCATTAATTAAAAATTTTATACAATTATATATTTGAACTTCAAGATCAACTTGCCATCTAATCTATTTTGATGTTTGGGTTTAGCCACATGAACTCGGTCAAAATATCAGTAATTTTTACACATTAGAATTATTTTGCAACTTCGAAAAATTTGCAAGGAAAAGGATTTCCTTTCTTAGCCAAATAAAGTAATCCATCTTGACTAAAATAAAAAAAAATGTCTCCTCAAAATTTCTACATATAACTTAGCAACAGAATTTTGCAAGGTATATACATAAACTCATCATAGACACTAGGCTTAAAATTATGTACACCAGACGCGCGTTTCTAAAGACGCGCATTTCTTCTACAAAAGACTCATCAGTGACGCTCGAATAAAAAAGTTAAAACGTCGAAAAAGTATGAAGTTGAAGAGCAGGACCCGATATACCGAATTTTGTGGATCCAATGATTTATACTACCAAGACATTTTTCCTCTACATAAAAATATGAAATATAAGGCATGATAAGACCTCCTTCGGACATAACCACTTATCTCTCTACTTTCTCCTTCAGAACCCCTTCTGGAGGGTTGATAAAGTAAAGTGTACTACAAATAAATAAATTCGAGTTATAACATGCATGTAACATACGTCGATCAGTTTTTTGTTGTTGTTGTTAAGTTCGATAAAAAGCCCAAGTCTACATCATATAATCTTTTCAGATGTCATGGCTACATATCACGACACGAAACATTTACGTGATCTCAATGTTAATATTTTTCTCGACTTCTTTCTGTACTTCAAATCTAATCACCCATTACATGTACAGGGAATGATTTCATCATCGCCCACTACATGCACAGGGAATGATTTTATACAAATTTCATCGCCCATTACATGCACATGGAAGGATTTTATACAATTTTCATCATCAATTACATGTACAGGGAATGATTTCATTCATTAACTTTTATAAAAATATCTTTTGATTTTGAAATCAGTGAGATGAAGCAACTAAGTAAAATGTAAAGATCTATGAAAAAAGTGTTAGAAAAGACTAGAATTTTAAAATATTTCATAAAAGGTACTTGAGAATTAAATACGTTTAATATTGAAAAATATAGGGTTGCTACATAAGCTAAATATTTTAATGTATAATCTAAGAAAAAGCCAGAAGGAAAGTAAAGTATGAGGAATGTTCAAAACTTCAGAAACGAAACAGAACCAATGTATAGTTTATGGGTTTTCAATGCTCTTCAACTTTTGGCCTTTTTGAGAAAAAGAGAGGCGAAAGATACCAAAGGGATATTCAAACTCGTAAGTCCAAAACAAACTTACAATGCCATGACAAAAAAACGAAAAAACGACCAGAAGACAAACAACAGTACACAAAACACAACATAGAAAACTAAAGACTGAGCAACACGAACCCCACTTAAAACCTGGGGATGATCTCAGGTGCTCAGAAAGGGTAAGCAGATCATGCTGCACATGTGGCACCCGTTGTGTTGATTATGTAAGTTAAAACGCGATGATTAGTCTAATTCGGTAGGTTACCTCGAGGAAAAGATTACGGGAATGTGATTACAACAATTGGAACATATCCGTTGTCATCTGTGAAACAGATATTCCATAACGGTCAACCAACTCGTTATGGCACCGTGAAATTTTCGATGGGATGATGTCAACTTCACCACTTGAAACTCTTGGTTAAATAACTTCCTTGTAAGCAGCAATCCTCTGTCAAGGAAATCATGATATGAAATGCAAGCCCTGGAATATCGTATCAGCTAGGAGATATCTACTCCATATGCAGGCGCTGCTGGAATGTTGCTACATAGAAATTTAAAGTTCACAATTGGGAAGCTGAAATCGTCTGTTTTGTCGTAAGCCTTTGTTCTAAACCAACCCTCATTGTCAATTTCTAGATGCAAGTCAATATATTAGGCAGACTGTATCTGATGTATCTTTTATTTCAAACTAGATTGGATAGATGCGTCCATCGTAGTCATTAAACTTTGTATCATTTAGTGAGAGGACGTCATCTAAATAGCAGAACTTTTAGTTAAACGATAATGCTAGTTATTCATTCTTCCTTAGAAGCTCCTGTATGAAGACATTAAACTGTATTATTGAGTGAGAGGACATCATCTATATAGCGGACCGTGAAGTTAAAGGATAATGCTAGCTTCATTTCACTCTTCCTATGAAGCTCCTGTAGTCAGTTTCATAAGAAATAAAGGAAACAAAGTTTTTTGATTCGAGCGTCACTGATTTGTAGAGGCGTACATAATTTTAAGCCTGGTATCTATGATGAGTTTATTATGTGCACTTATGAATGCGTAAAAATGATCCTGTAAATTCCTAATTAAATTTTTGAAGGACGAGACTAATCAAGGTTGCACGATTTGGCTGCTGCAGAGTACTGAATCATTAATTGCAGTAAAAATAGAAAACAGCATTGACTAAGGCTGACAATCTGCCTTGGCCAAATTTTATGCCATGAAAACTGCTTCTATACATAAACAAACATGCATTGATTTTGGCGTTCCTTGATTTACTAGTCCAAACAGTACATTTATAACTCAATTAAACGGATGAACTCTCAAAGTATACTCTATGTTTCTACAAGCTCTAAAGAGATTATGTTTTACTGTATTGTATGCTTTTTACCGAACCCAAGGAAATTTTATTTTATTCTTGATATGGAATATATATCAATGTCGCTTTCATCTGTCTTCAGAAGTGCCTAATAGTGATTGCCCAGCAAAAAGGTTACAATATAATCATAGTCAACACATACAAAATTCAATTAAAAAAATTTCCACATCATATTTGAAGCTGTTAATCGCCCTAGTGTAAGCACTTGACGAAATGACGGAAAAGACTTCAACAGTAACTACCGAATTCCCGCATTAGAAAATGGACAACCTTGACGGTGAATAAAATAAAGTAGTTATGACAGTACCTAAGCATCCCTCAATAAAAAATTAAATCAAATCCTTTATTGGTGTTAAATCTAAATATTGGACCGTTACCAAGACATACACATGACAATATTTACCAACAATAAAATTCAAATTTTACAAACATTAATATTATATATGTATATCATCTATTTAGATATTTTGGAGGAGGTTATACTTTTGCAAGTTGAAAATAAAAGTAAAATATGATTAAAGAGGTTGTTAAGAAATATATATGTAATAAAAATATTCACAAAGTTGTTAACCATAATTCTAGGTTTTCCTGCCAGATGGGTAATTTCTGATTACATATAAGTCATTTACATGCTATAAATTCGACTCGACATGCTCGGTCGAATTTATAGCATTTCTTTACTAAATTACTAAAAATCTAGCTATTGATTTGGTTGATCATAGTAATTTCTTTTTTTCTGGCAAAAAATGTTCAATAACATAATAATCTAATATACAATATAATTACTATATTCAAATATGTGACAATATCCGGCGAACTGACTGTCGTAGTTACTGTGAGCACATTCGATGAGCTGAAACCAAAAATTTCTTTACATAATATAACGGAACCCCATCTTTTAAACTGTCAAAGTATTTCACGTACATAATTTACCCATATATTGAATTCCAAAATAACAAGAACCCGTTATTATACAGCTACTCTGACTTGTTATGAACATATACATAAGATGACTATAGCACAGGGAAACAACCAGTCTAAACGAAAAGAAATAAAATATACTCCCTTAACAATAAATTTACTTATGGCATACTCGTTAAATGTAACAATAAATGTATACTGTCCTCA